CATCCGAGCTCGAGTTAACCTTAAAGCCCATCAGACACGTCAGAGGCATGTGATCAGCCGACTCCTCAGAGGCAGTTGCCTATTCCCGAACCTTTAGCCTATTTCCTGCGCTTGGTGAGAAACCCCGCCCTCCTCTGCTCCAGTCCGCCTGCTGATTGGCGCCCGGGCGGCAGCATGTCGGCCAGCGCCCTCTTCTCCGCCTTCAGCCTCTGCTCTGAGAAGCCGCGCGCGTTTGGCTTTGAGGGCGCCGGCGTGAGAGCCTCTCGATTCTCTGCCGCTTCTTGCTTGGGCAGGGTCGCCTAGGAAACGGGCCAGGGGCGCGCCGACCGAGCCTCCTTATGGCCGCGGTTGTGGCCCAGGGGCGAGTGTTGGGTCCCCTAGTGGGAGCCATCGACCAAGGGACCAGCTCCACAAGGTTCTTGGTAAGCGCAACTAACCACGAGGAGCGGTCGCTACTTCCATTCGAGAGCAAGGCGAGCAAGCCACAAAAGGAAGGCGATTGTCCTTGGGGGGAATGTGGAGGACGCCAGCCGGGAGAGACGGCGGGCATGTGACTGCAAGGGGAGCTGCTTGCCCAATGGACTGGGCGGGATAGGCGCCCGGACGTCTTTAACAGGTGTTCAGGTTCATCTATAGAAGCGAGAGGAAGGCTAGATGAATGCAAAGTTGAATAGCAATGGTGTGAGGTTGTTTTGGCCCACTGCGAAATAAAACGAAAGGATTCTGGAGTAGAGGATGTCTTTTGGATGTGATGCAAGCCTTCACTACGTTTGGTTGATTTAGCAAGTTAAGCACTGCCAAAATAGTGACATTATTTTTGCTACCGTCATTGACATAATTATCCCGTTCCTTTCTTTTTGACAGGAAAATAGAACAGATTTTTACTGTTTCTAAATGAACAATATTTTTAATTGCTCTTAAATGGAACTGCAATTTTACCCTTTCCTCTGCTGGAGTGAAAAATAGTTTCAACTGGTTTGGCTTCCATTAGCAGCTAGAATATGTATCTTCTTGTCATTCTTCCCAGTCAGCTTCCAACAAGCAAAGTCAATGGGGGAAGCCAGATTCACTTAATAAATGCATGGTTCAATTAACAGTTGCAGTGATTGATTTGCTTAACAACTGTGGCAAAAAGGTCATAAAATGGGACAAAACTCATTTAACAACTGCCTAACTTAGCAGTGGAAATTTGGGGCTCAATTGTCTTAGGTCAAAAATGCTTTCAGATGAGGATTTTATGAAGAAGTTGTCCTTTTCATCCTCTTCCATTTGAAATCCTCATGCATATCCTGTGTATGGAATGGTTCTGGTATCACCCTCTAAGGTCGGGCTTACTCGGTTCATTACATAATCTTTATATCCAGAGGTATTGGATGAGGGCAGTGAAAGTTTTTTTAATGGCATTTAGATATTTTTAGTGCATGTCTTATGTAATTATCTTGGGAATGTTTATTTGAATCATCTATAAAATATATAAAGTGAATTTTTGTTTTCATTTTTGTCAGATTGACTTATACTCATTACAGGTGGAGGTTTCAGTGACTATTATTAGAAAGGAAACAGTTTCTGTAATTTAAGTTATGTTAAAACAGTTTGGTTAAAAAAAATCCTGTGAATTTCACTAATGACATTTCTTAATCTTTTTTCACTCAAAGTATGAGTCATTTCTTTTTAAAAGGCAAAAGGTACTTGGAGAACTGTCTAGAATTCAAGAACTTGTTCTCGGATTATGAAAGAATGATAGACCAAATTCATTGACAGGCTAACGTACTTGCCTTTGTTGAAGTAAAATGCCATCACAGAAACAGGAATGTTTAAATTAAAACAATTTTAGTTTGGGAATGTACCAAGAAAAAGTATATTAATTGTACTGAAAGTTTAAATGTTTTGGTAGGCTCTTGCAACCAGCTTTCAACCTGGTATATGTTTGTCAATTTTCAGAAGAACCTAAGGAACATTTTTATTAGTAATGATACTAAATCCATTTTTGTGTACCATATGAATTAAAAATTACAAATGGAATTAGATTCCCCAGAAGGAATTGTGAACTGACAGTGATTTTATAAAAGTGGAGCCAAAGACAGCTGCAAAGACTAAGGAATCAGTAAGTAGACTGGTTTTTATAAACCAGGGATCCCCAACCCTCGGTTCGTGGACCAGTATTGGTCCGTGGCATGCCAGCAACTGGTCCGCACAAACAAGCAAAAACCTATCCACAAGATGCAGGCAGCACACTGCTGCCTCTGGGCTGCGGAAAAATCTCTCTTCACGGAACTGGGCCCTGGTAGCCAAAAGGTTGGGGGGACCTCTGTTATAAACCTCTCTGGATAACAAGAGGATGGGAGATCACTCATATATGGTGTGTGTGGCTGCCCCTCTATGAGGAGACTGCAGCGCAACGGTTTTCCATGTTTGAACTCCAGGAGACAATGGGATCAGCCATCTTACTTCAAGTCTTTTAAAATATTGTATTTATATTTCAGTTTCTAAACTGCCCATTTCCCTCAAAGTTACTAAATTCACAAACCTCATTTTCTAATGACTTTTGGAAATTGACTATTAACCATCTTAAAATTATCAGAAACCTTCAGAATTACAAGTCTGAAAACATGAGCTTAAGAACTTTGAAATAAACAGCAACTAGCTAAATAAGATTTTGAGCTAAGAAAGTTATAAATGGATTAATGATCCAGATAAATTTGGAATATTTTTACTATATGATTTTGGAATTAAGTTTTAAAAATAATCAGCTTCTTGTGGGAAACAAACTTATTCTGGCTATCCTGGCTATTGTCAATCATAACAGAAGATAAGTACCGGTAATGATTTTGTAAACTAGAACTAGAAGGGACAAAAGTTTCTAAGCAGAAGGAAAAAAATACAAATCTTTTGTTGATGTCAGTTAATACTGGAATTTAAAAAATGACACAAAACATTAAAACAGCCAAAATATTACACAATATCTTTGAAGAATGGAGCAAGAAATTAGTAATTATCAACACACTGTCAGTAGTATTGTCTTCTTTTAAACTGTGTCTTAAAAATGTTAGTGAAAGAATGACATGTTTAATAAATGTTGTCTGACAGGACAAAAGACAAAAACTCTGACCACGTGTAACTTAAAATTGAATGAAAGGGATGTTTTGTCGAACTCTTCAAGAGTTGATGCAGACAGGATGTCTATAGGTAGACAGGTACAGCCTAAACAGATGGAACTTGCTAACTGAAAGGGTTGCTAGGAGCTTAGATAAAACATAGTATAAGTTTTTTTTAGGACAAAAGAAATATTTAATTCAGTTTGGATACTATCCAACTCCATTTGACACTTTTTATCTCAAAAAATAGCCTGTTAATGGCATGTAGGGCATTTAATATGGTCTTTTCTAAGTATCTGTGTGCAGAGAAAATGGTGATTTGATAAATGAGCTCATTTAAAAAGTTCAAGAGATTTGATTAATACATTAAGCACATACAGTCGTGAAAAAGAAAGTACATCCTCTTTGAGTTTTACGGTTTTATGTATCAGGACATAATAAAAACCATCTGGTCCTTAGCAGTTCTTAAAAGTAAGCACAGATGAGCAACACAAGACATATTACACCATGTCATCATTTATTTTACAAAAAATAAGCCAAAATGGAGAAGCCATGAGTGAAAAACTAAGTATACTTTATGATTCAGTAACTTGTAGAATAGCAATAGCACTTAGACTTATACTGTTTATATAAGAGTCGTAGTGGCTCAGTGGTTAGAATGCAGTACTGCAGGTCACTTTTGCTGACTGCTGGCTGTCAGCAGTTCAATTCTCACTGGCTCAAGGTTGATTAAGTCTTCCATCCTTCTGAGGTCAGTAAAATGAGGACCCAGATTGTTGGGGGCAATATGCTGACTCTATAAACTGTTTAGAGAGAGCTGTAAAGCACTGTGAAAAAGTATATAAATCTAAGTGCTATTGCTTTATACGTTAAAGCACTGTCTGAACAGTTGGCAATGTCAGCATATTGCCTTCAACAATCTGGGTCCTCATTTTACTGCCTTAGAAGGATGGAAGGCTTAGTCAACTTCGAGCTCCATCAGGATCGAACTTCAGACTGTGGGCAGAGTTAGCCTCAATACTGCATTCTAATCGCTGTGCCACCAGAGCTCCATGTAGAACCATCTTTGGCAGCAATATCTTGAAGTAATTGTTTTCTGTATGACTTTATCAGTCTCTCACATCATTGTGGAGGAATTTTGGTCCACTCTTTACAACATTGCTTCAGTTCATTGAGATTTGTCGGCATTTGTTTATGCATGGCTCCCTTGAGGTCCCACCACAGCATTTCAGTTGGATTGAGGTCTGAACTTTTTACTTGACCCTTTGATTTCTTTTTCTTTTTCAGCCATTCTATTATAGATTTGCTGATGTGCTTGCTCATTGTCCTGCTGTATGACCCAATATGAGCCAAGCTTTAGCTAGAGTCAAATAACTTAACATTTGTCTCTAGAATACTTTGGTATAAAGAGGAGTTCATTATCCAGTGATTGCAAAGTGCCCGGGTCCTATGGCTGCAAATCAAGCCCAAATCATCATCCCTCTCCCAACCATGCTTGATAGTTGGCATGAGATGTTTGTCTGATATGCTTTGGTTTTTGCCAAATTTGGCACTGTGCATTATGGCCAGACATCTCCACTTTAGTCTTGTCTGTTTGTTCAAAGGGACTTCCAGAAGTCATGTGATTTGTTCAGATGCAACTTTGCAAACATAAGCCATTCTGCAATATTCTTTTTAGAGAGAAGAGGCTTTCTCCTGGCTACCCTACCAAACAAACCATACTTGTTCAGTCTTTTTCTGATTATATTGTCATGAAATTCCACATTTAACATGCTAATTGAGGCCTCAAATTCTGAGATTTAACTCTTGGATTTTTTTTTCCAATTTCTCTAAGCATTGCAAGGTCTGACCTTGGGGTAAATTTGCTGGGACGTCCATTCGTGGGAAGATTGGCAACTATCTTAAAGTTTTCCACTTGTGAATAATCTTCCTCACTGTAGAATGATGGACTTTAAATTGTTTGGAAATGGCCTTATAACCCTTTCCAGATTGATGCGTAGAACATCATTGCTAGTGTCTTTACTCTTTGGCACGGTATTAACACACAGCTCAATGCTGAAAACAAAAAATTCTTAAAACGTTGGCTTTTATAGAGGCAGTCACACTGATAATCAATAGATCAAGGGCAGCATGTGGCTGCTACTTAATCTCTTCATCCCTATGGAAGCAGAAAGGTGTACTTAATTTTTCATACATGTTTTCTCCATTTTGACTTTCTTTGTAAAATAAATGATGACATGGTGTAATATGCCATCTGTTTTTGACAGTTTTAAGAACTGCTAAGGACCAGATCATTTTTACCATGTTCTGATACTAAAACGGTAGAACACAAAGAAGGTATACTTTCTTTTTCACAGGATTGTAGTTGACTTGCAATACTAAATAAGAAAATTGGTTGTCATATTCAGCTGTAAATCTTGACTACGACCATCCCAAAGAAGTTTCAGAATAGTAGCAATTGAGTTCTTTTTAAAAAAGTATTCTATTGTCTGTTGTGCCTTCCTTTAGCCACCTTGATGAAAATGATTCAAGTATTCCAATATTTGAATTCTGATAATATTGATTATTGATACAATTAGTTGGATTGCCAAATAAAGTGTCCAAGCTGTGTAATTGTACATATTTATTTATTAACCAGATTCCCCTCAATACCTAATGACAATGGGCAGCTCACAACAATCAAAACAGATTTGCAATAAAACAAAAGGAAGAAAAATAAACTATGACAGGAACAGCAAACTGGATGGGAATGAAGGAAGCGGTCTGGCTCTCCTTCACCAAAGACCTTCATGGCTCTTCTAAACAGCCAGAGTGGGGGCCACTTATTTCATGGCAGCAGTACTAGAGAGAAGACATGCTTCCTGGGTCCTTTAGATGACATTGTTTAATCAAAGCTACCTAGACAGCACCAACCTTGCAAAATCAAATTGGCTGAACAGATTCTATTGGAGACAGGTAGTCTGTCAAATAACAGTCCTTGTCTCATATAAAACAGTGTGGTCTGTTTGTAAATTGCTAAGAGCCTAGAAACCCATATGTTCTTACTGTAGTGATATTTAAGGTTTCTAATTTAATTGTCTTGTTCATAAACAGTTAAGACTCCATAATGTCTAATATACTTTACAACATAAGTTGACTACTAAAAATTTTAATAATTTTTCTAAGTACACAGTGGCTAGCTCTAGTGCTTGATCTTGATGATATAGATAAGAACAGATTAATTATATTTGTCAAATGGAATAAAGAAAAATAGTGGGGTTATGCTTAATCCTTCATTTATTTTCTATTTAGGTCTCACATTTTTCTTTAGATTGTCTTTCCTTTAAATCTGTTCTGTGGGGAAAACATTGTAAGCAAGTTATTTCCAGAAAGAGGGGGAAAAAATAAAGCCTATGTTCAAAATCTCAGCTTAGTTCAGAAATGGTTCCAACTTAGTTCATTTGAATAATTTTCTTCCAGAAAATTGAGAAAAAAAGTCTTGTACTGTTGATCAAAATAGAGAATGAATACTAATGAGCCCTCATCAAATAAATAAAATTAAGTGATGGTCATGACTTACAAGTAGATACTTGCTTATCTGAGTCAAAGATAAACAAGTTAGATAAGTTGAATGACCTTGTAGGTAATGATTAACAACTGTTACTCTTACAATCATCTATCTTTCATCAGTATGATTTTTTTGTATCTGTTATATTTGAACTTTGGAATTAAATACTCTTAAGACATATTAACTGAAAAACAATAAATATAATATAGAAATAAAAAAGCAATTACTTGATGCGGGCACATAAAACACAAGTAATGTTTCCCAAATATTTCATATGACATAATTATGCAAACATGTTTTAGAGTTGTGCAGAATCATACAGATCCATAGAATATATCTTAAGTAACCAATTATTTTACAAAATTAATTCTATCTTAGGTTTATGTGAGAATTGCTTGGTTGTTTATGTCATGTAATTAAAAATTAGTTCTATTGATTATACTCACAAAAATATAATTGGATTCAGTGGTACATTTTTACTTTCATAAGGTTTTATTTATTTATTTATTTGTATCCTCCCTTTATTATTTTTACAAATAACTCAAGGCAGTGAACCTATCCAACACACCTTTCTCCTCCCATTTTCCCCCACAACAATAACTCTTTGAGGTGAGTTGGGTTGAGAGAGTGTGACCGGCCCAAGATCACCCAGCCGGCTTTCCTGGCTAAGGTGAGACTAGAACTCATAATCTTCTACTTTCTAGCCTTTTACCTTAATCACTAGACCAAACTGGCCATCTTAATTTGTATGGAATATATTTTCTGGTCACATCTAAAAAGATTTTTTCTAATAAAATGAATAAGTTACATGTAACAAAAGAATCACTGCATGCAGTTGCTACACATTGCTTCATTTTAAAAGGGTAAGAATATATTCTTGCTTCCTTATTTTTTGTTGCTATCCATCACTAGTTAACAGGTGTTAACAGGTGTTAACAGGTGCATCATTATTTCTTACAACTAACCATTGCTAAGGCTAATAAGAGGTGCTTCACAATATCTGAATGGCACCATGTCCCTGTTCTACTTAACCTTCATGTTTCTAATGTGCAGCACAATAATACTATAATCAGAAGGATACTATAATGAGTGAAGGGGTTTTTTTTGTAAAACATTACTTTTGTACATCAATTTAATGTAATGATTGCCGAGTAATAACTTTTAGGAAAAGATAGATATAACTTAGGTTTATGTATTTCTGATAAGCTAGGAAAACTCTGCCTCATTTTTATAGACCAGACAAGATAATTTCATAGTTGCTATTATCTATTCAAAGTTCTGACATTCAGAATTTAGAACTCTGATTATATTTCTGATTATATTATATATGAATATTAGAATATTTCTTAGTGTTTATAAACATTTATTCAGGAACATTAAATGTAGTGGCAGTCTTTTAAAAATTATTTAAAAGGGGATTAATGAGATAAGACTTGATTTATTTGGTTATGAAGTTTGAAAATAATTTACTATGCATATTGACCTTTGGATGTAAAACTATAGGAAATTGCTTTTTATTTCAAAGATCCACTTGTTCTCTATTTTCCCTTTTGATAGTGGCCCATATTGTGTAGCAAATATTCTTTGCCTTTATTTTTCTATATAAACCTCCTAAACCTAAGTTTTCCAATTAACATATTCTTTATATATCATCTAATTTCTATATTTCGTAATTGAGTTTTCATATCACTGCAAAATTATGGTTGAAAAGCTGTAACCTGGGATCCAGAAGGGCTTGTATCTTCTTTTAAATAAATTATTTTAAAGTAGCATGGGGCTAAGCAAGTGTTATACTACAATTCTGTTATTTGACTATTTCCTGTTACAGATGAAGAAATCAGAATACTGTTTCCTGATAAAATGTTGGTGATGAGCTTCCTTGTATACTCTACTCTTTTGCCTATGGATATACAAACTGGTTTGATAACTATATATTTACTGCTTGCAGGTTTTCAATGCAAACACAGCTGAATTATTGAGTCATCACCAAGTGGAAATCCAGCAGAAATTCCCCAAAGAAGGGTATAGTTTCTCCTTTATGTTTGAACATTTGATGTTTTATATGATGTTAAATTCTATGAGAAAAAAGCTAATTAAGTTTTTTTAACTGATGAAATTGTTTCCATCCGTATGACAAATGGTATGGCTTTCTTATTTCCTCTCTTTATTATGTTGTTAAAATCTGCTCTGTTAGCAAACATCCAAATTCATATTTTTAGAGTATTTTAGAAGTTGCATTGTGAACAATTGAGAAAATTCAACAGAGAGAATTGTTTTTCTCTGATCTTAGAATTTAAATATGTCCAACATGAATAGAAAGGTAGTTCATATGTTCAAATTTGCGTCTTCTTCAACTGCATTAATGACATGTTCTTACTGAAGGTTCTGTGTTATAGCCATATCCTTTGAAATAAATAAATAAATAAATATATATATATATATATATATATATATATATATATATATATATATATATATATATGCATGCAGGTCTTGGCGTATTCGGGTCTTTCCCGTGTAAGATTGAGAGTATCTTGGCGACGTTTCGACGAGGTCCCACTCATCATCTTCAGGCTGGGGTCTTCGGCTTCGTGCTTGTGCGAGCAAAGTGTGATCGGAGCTGCCGTCTCTCTATAAATATTGGTGGGGGTGTGTGGAGTGCTGGCTTAGTTGCACTCCACACACCCCCACCAATATTTATAGAGAGACGGCAGCTCCGATCACACTTTGTTCGCACAAGCACGAAGCCGAAGACCTCAGCCTGAAGATGACGAGTGGGACCTCGTCGAAACGTCGCCAAGATACTCTCAATCTTACACGGGAAAAGACCCGAATACGCCAAGACCTGCATACCTGTACCCGTGAAAATCTACGAAAACATAAAGCTAGGGTTTTTATTTTTATATTTTGGCATCATTGTGATTAACTTTGGATGTCTTTGATTGGATTTTATTTTCTGATATGTCTTTCTTGTTCTAAAGCCAACAATGAAAGATACTGTTTGATTTTTATTTACTGTAAAGAAGCTAAGGCTTACTTATGGT